ATTCTGTTGCTTTCCTTCAGCCATAATGATAATAGCTACCATTTATGGGTGGTTTAGGATATGCCTGTGCTTTAGTTAAATTGTATAGTCTAAGCCTCATAGAAGTATCTCCGTTTGGCCCACCAGGAAACTAAGATTTCGACAAATAACTTCCCAAGATCACTTAGCTTGTAAATAGCAAAGGTGAAATTTGAACCCAGGTTTGGTTGTGTCTAAAGCTGCCTAACCCACAAAGCTTTGTGTTCCTGACCTCTTAACTCAAATCTTTTGTGAGCTCTTAGCACAAAATCCTAATTACCTGGAGGGCTTGTTGAAACAGAATTCTCGGCCCTTCCTCTGGAGTTTCTACATCAGTGGGTCTTGGTGAGGATAGGAATTCCCATTTCTACAAACTTCCCAGGGGGTGCAGATGATGTTCCTGTGGGGGGAAGGCACTTGGGGAACACTGCACTTGCCACGCTGCCCCGCCCCCTTGCTCGGGTACACTGAATGGCTGCCAGCAACAATGTGTTTCATATGGAGAGGAAGGACTTCAATTATGCATTATGACACGGCCCATTTTAAGTGGGGTGTATCCCATCCATTATTCAGCACAACTTTAAGGAGAAAATTATTATGGCCATAGAGTGGTTCCTGATTTCTAGGTTAAATTCAGGTCATGTCATTTTATTGCATTTTTCTTTGCAGTCATTTATAAAAACTGCTCTAACTTCTGTGTCACCACCTACACAATGGGAAGCTTAATGCCCATCTGAAAAGGGTAACAAAACCATTTCTTGATTTAAAGCAGAAAGGTGTCTGAGATGAGTTGCCTCCCTTATCTACTTACCTTTTTGCTTAGGATATCATGTGTTAATTACCTCTCATTTTGAAGAAGTTTATTATTTTGATGTGATTTACATATCTAGACTTAATAGGGGAGAATTCATCCCTTTAAGAAGCCTGTCCCCCTCACTTGACCTGTTCTCTCTCTGCCTATCCTTCTTCCCCATCTATAATCTTTGGTAACCACTAATCTGTTATATATCCCTAAAATTATGTTATTTCACAACTTCTGTATAAATAAGGAAGGCAGTATTTACCCTTTTGAGATGGGCTTTTTCACTTAGCATAATTTCCTTGAGGATGTTGTGTGTATCAATAGCTCATTTCGTTTTACTGCTAAAAAGTATTCTAGGCTGTAGATGTACCACAATTTGTTGAGTTATTCACCCACTGAAGGACATTTGGATAGTTTCCCATTTGGGGCCATTAAGGATAAAACAGCTCTGAACATTCATGGACAAGCTTCTGCGTGAAAATAAGTTTTCATTTTCTCCGGGATAAAAGCCCAAGGGTGCAATTGTTGGGTCATATGCTAATCCCACTTTCAGTTTTAAAAGAAACTGCCCAACTTTTTTCCAATGTGACTGCACCATTTTACATTCCCAGCAGGAATATGTGAGGGTTCCAATTTCTCTGCAGCCTCCTGAGCACCTGTTCTCATCTGTCCTTTTGATGATAGCCATCCTCGTGGGTGATTTGCATTTCCTTAATGGTTAATGATGTTGAGTATCTTTGTGCCTATTGGCATTTTGTATGTTTTTCTTTGGAACGATATCTGGTCAATTCATGGCTTGTTTTAAAATTGGATTATTTGTCTCTTGATTGTTGAATGTCAGAATTCTTTACATATTCTGGATATTAGTCTCTTACCAAACCAATGATTTGCAAATATTTTCTTTTTCCTGTGGATTGCCTTTTCACTTTCTTGATGGCAGTCAGGAGGAGAGGGAGCACAGTCTTCTTGACTGAACTTGCCTGGGATGGAGCTTCCATGAGGCAGAGCTGGGAGGGGGTTGGTAGTGGAGCAGGTCATGGCTCAAATGCCACAGGCACTTAGTGTTCTTGCCAAGAGTCTGTTGGTTCTCCCGAACAAATGTTTTTCCATTTGTCATTAGATCTTTAGAACGATTTCCAGAAACTTTAAATGAATGAAGTTTTTTTTTTAATATAATTTTTACCAGTTAAATTGTTGTTTTGCTAGGGAGAGTGTCCAGAGTTCCTTAGTGTCTCCCTTTTTAAGGCCAGCCTTTGAGTGTACTTTATAATGCACATTCCCAGGAGATTTCACACCTGCAGTTCTGATCAGCCTCTCCTAATTACCAGATGATTCCTTGGTAAGTCTAGTGGCTGGAGAAGGGTCTTCCTTGCACAGAATCCACAGGACTAGAACAAGGCCTGGGACATAGTATTTCTTGAGACAGTGACTGAAAAAAGGAATGAGTTGAAGCATCGAGAAGGAGGTAAATGTAGAGTGTGTGAGAGTTCCGAAATGGAGAGGTGGGTCCCAGAAAGGCTGAGTGGGAGGGCGCCAAACACAAGTGTGGCCCAGCTGGAAAGACTGCTCCCCTTGCTGGGTATCATTAGTCCCTCCGTTAGAACGCACTTAGCCATTCACAGAGTCCCTGTCACTAGAGTCCAAAGAGAGGCTGGTTCATGGACTGAGCATGGTTAGAAATCTGAAAATTATTATTATAAGTTTTGTGTGCACATGTTCTGTGTGTGTCTTTATGTGTTAAACATACATTGTATACACACGAGCAGATCCGTATTTATACATGTATATATACACACATATAGGCACACAAACACTTATACAAGGGTTATGGAAACTTTGGGGCAGTGGGATATTCTGAAAGGACATTCTTCTCTCTCTTTTTCAAAGTTTCTTTCCTTATTTTGAGAGAGAGAGAGAGACAGCATGAGCAGGGAGAGGGGCAGAGAGAGAATTCCAAGCAGACTCCATACTGTCATTGTAGAGCCTAGGCTTGGCTTGATCCCATGAACTGTGAGATCATGACCTGAGCCGAAATCAAGAGTCAGACCCTTAACTGACGGAGCCACCCAGGCACCCCAGAACGTTCTTTCTCACCTACAAATAACGTAAACAGTAATGGAATGTTCAGACACTCTCTAGTCATCTTGCTGATGAGGAAGCGAAGGCCCAGAGAGCTCACGTGTTTTATTCATAATGTCACGGCAAGGATGCTCATCCCGTCCCTCCCTTCAGCTGCTGCGTGAATGAACACAAGCTTCAGGCACATAAGCTCTATCCCCTACATCGGCAGATCCTCCTCCTGTGCCACCACTTACAAACCAACGCCCTAGAATAACTGCTATTTGAATATTTTGCTGTAAGTGTTCTACCTTCCCTCTACGTCCACTCGTTCCCTAAAGTCAATTCTGCAACTGGCAACTTTGAAACTTGTTACAATCCAGAACATTAATAGGGTTTTACATTTTTAGCAGCCTAATGATGAGGATGTAGGACCTTTTGTGCTAATCCCTCAGGGCTTTCTATTCTGGGCACTTATTAAACTTTCCTGTAGTCTGAAGTATACTTGACCTTTTTATATTAAAACAATTTGAGTTTAAACTTTATATGTGTGTGTGTGCACATATTTCCTTCTTGATCAGGTAAGGTAGAGAGCCAGACATTTTTAACAGTTGAATTGGAAGATACTTATCAATTATTTCCCTATGTTTGGTGAGCAAAGGAGAAGCCATTACCATCGTAATTTAATATTTCTTATTTAGCCAAATTCGAACCCTCTTAAAAATCTTTTCTACTTTCAAGTCTATTTTGCAGTTTAATTAATGCAGCAAGGGTTTTTATTTTACTCTCAATGGAGATAATCTTAATCCATTCACAGTGACCTTTTCTTGCGCAAATTAGTTGTACAAGCTTGTTTAAGCAAATGGTCCTTTGCATGATGTCTCTTCTTAATGACGGGTTTATAATTGAAAATTGGCTTACTCCCATATGCCTAGTTTGTATGAGAATATAAAAATAGATGTGGACTTTAAAAATATAAATGTATATATCAGTATCCCAAAACGAAGAGGGAAGAATCCGATGCCTTCAGGCTATGATTAAATTAGACTATTAGAGTCAGAAAATACCGGTGACATATGCTACTGTCAAAGTCACACCTGTCTGCCGAGCATTGGAAGCTCTTAAAAAATGAGAGTGATTTCATCTTAGCTCTGAGAATCTGGGCTTTCACAAGACACGAGCCATTTCTGCTTTCCCAAGTTTCCTTAAACTCATAATGAACCTGAAACTGCATGTTTAGGACTGTGTTTGTGGAAACCATTTTTAAGGAGATATCCCTAAACAAAATGAAAAGCTAGTCACCTTTCCTGTACTTCACCAGCATGAAGAGACAGCCGATGCTCATGTTATATTTTGTCTTCTTTCAAGAGCAAACACCATGTTGTACCGTCAAGTGGTATTTGAGTAAAAGAAACAAATCCTCTCTTCTGCACCCCGGTTTTCTGCACCCCACGCTATGCTTATTTTCTCTCCTGCTATTCTTATTTTCCCATTTCTTAGGCCAGCTCCTTCTGTCTCTCTTGTCTTTCCCCTAAAAGTTATGTTATCCATTCTTATATAGGAGTATTTGTCTGACGTAGCTGAATATTCTTGGTTAAACGTAGAAACTCCAGCTTGAAGGAGAAAGTAAATGTTTTGTGCTCGTAATGGAGGTTTCCTGAGTAGGTTTGAATAGCATGGTTTTGTGGGCTGGGGAACAAGGACAGTCTTAGTTTTGCTGAATGACAGGGCAGTAAACAAGAACTACTTGTTGTGATCTTTTTCTTTTAAGCTCATGGGGACGAGACATTTCATCAAGACACAAAAAAATCTGATTTTTGGAAGCAAACCCTGGGCAAGCCAGATTGTTACTGGGACCATCAGACTTGTCTTTCATGTACTGCTTGCAGAACACCTTAACTGCTTTGCCCCTGGTGAAAGTTCACATTTGTTGTTCATGCAACAGCCCCCACACCCCCAAAGGGGAAGTGAGAACTGCCTACCCAGTGTGTCTCCTGAGCGGCTCTGGGTAATTCCATGTTACTGTACACCTCCCGGTGTTCATTGACCCCTCCGCCACCCCACTACCCCTCACGGGTCTTCGTTTGCTGACTGTCCCTGATTGTTCCTTCTCTCCTTCTAGGTATGATTATCGGGAAATGCTGCACAATGCCACTTTCTGTCTGGTTCCTCGCGGTCGCAGGCTTGGGTCCTTCAGGTTCCTGGAGGCCTTGCAGGTAAGAGACCCTGAGAGCTCCTCAGAATAGGGCAGAGGACTGAAGTCAGACGGGGTGGGTTTAACCTTAACCCTTCTGCGGGAATCGAAGCAGAAATGCATGGTTTGCCTTGAACACCTGGAATCAGTTTTCGCAAGCGAGTCTGTAACATTTTTTAGGAGAGGGGGTGGAAAGAGGATTCACTCCCTGTCTTTGGACACGAGAAGATCAAAGGTTTCACCACGAGGGAGGAGGTGTTCTTCTGAGACGTGTTTGGCAGCAGAGGGTAGACCTGACTGCCCTCTGGCAGCCTTGCGGACACTGTTCGGCTCCCGGAAGCCAGTCTCAGGAGCACTGGCTTAAGAAAATGGCTCATCAGGGGCACCTGGGTGGCTCACTTGGTAAAGCGTGTGACTTTGGCTCAGGTCATGATCTTGCAGTTTGCAGGTTCGAGCCCCACATCGGGCTCTCTACTGTCAGCGCAAAGCCTGCTTCAGATCCTCTGTCTCCCTTTCTCTCTGCCCCTTCCTGCTCCCTCAAAAATAAACATTTAAACAGGAAAAAAAAAAAAAAAGAAAAAAGAAAATGGCTTATTGGTGGTACTTCCCAAAAGTAAATCATCTTGGGGCACCTGGGTGGCTAGTCAGGTGAGTGTCCAGCTTCAGCTTGGGTCATGATCTCATAGTTCATCAGTTCGAGCCCCATGTCGGGCTCTGTGCTAACAGCTCAGAGCCTGGAGGCTGCTTCGGATTCTGTCTCCCTCTCTGCCCCTCCCCCACTTGCACTCTATCTGTCTCTCAAAAATAAATAAACATTAAAAAATTTTTTAATTAAAAGAAAAAAGCAAATTGTCTTTTCTGCCCACCGCCCTCAGTCATCTCTCAGTACTTCTAAATTCTAACAGTGGGGTAAACCTCTTCACGAGCAGAGTTGTGGCAGTTGCATTGACAAAACCATTTATATTCGAGGTTGGTTTTATGCTCGGATATTGTCGGTGGACAATTGTGTCACATCAGTAAGACTTCTCAAACAAGGCCAGTCGTCTCCCTGGAGGTCAGGTCAGCCAAACCATGTACGAGAATAGAAACGGGGTTGTAGCATTTGAGGGCAAGTCTTACAAACATTAAAATCTTGGCGATATGTACAGGCCTTCACATGACTTGATAACTCATATAAGCTTACTTTTCTCTTTTGCTTTTTAACTTTATTTATTTATTTTGAGAGAGACAGAGAGAGAGAGAGAGAGAGAGAGAGCATGAGCAGGTGAGGGGCAGAGAAAGAGGGAGAGAGAGAGATTCCCAAGCAGGCTCCGCACCCTCAGCACAGAGCCTGATGTAGGGCTCGAACTCACGAACTGTGAGATCATGACCTGAACCAAAATCAAGAGTTGGAAGCTTATCCAGCTGAGCCACCCAGGTGCCCCATAAGTTGACTTCTCTTCTGGCCCAAGCAGTCCAGGATCCAGGCAAGGATCTAAGTAAGAAATGCCAGTGATTAAATTCACACTCATGTCACCCCCGATTAGAATGTCCCCTCTGCTGCTTCCCTCACATTCACGAGTGCCCCCTTCCTCACGCAGGCTGCCTGTGTCCCTGTGATGCTCAGCAATGGATGGGAGTTGCCATTCTCTGAAGTGATTAATTGGAACCAAGCTGCCGTCATAGGCGATGAGAGATTGTTATTACAGGTAAGGAAGGGGCTCCAGCCTTCAGCAGATGAGTGGATTATTGCTGCCGCCGTCCAAACTTTCAAAGAAGATGAATCCAAAAGGTCAGCTCTATAAAAGAAATTTTATCAGGAGAAAATTGCCTGTGTCATGGCGAATATGAAGTCATTTAATATGACATTGTTCACTTTCCACACAAAATCTGCCCAGGTCCAGGGAATATATTTGGAAAAGGAGAAGTGGCAGGCGAAGGCCATGAGCTTGATGGGAAGAAGAGATGTATACCCATCCTCTTCCCTATCCAGAAGATTTAGAAATGATCCAAGAGAGCTTTCGTACCTTCCTGCCACTCCATATTCCTTTCCCTTGTTTCTGTAATTGCCTTCAGATTAATTTTCAGAAAGAGGGAGGTCTCTAGGGTTGATGCTTATAATTAGTGTTATCATTGCTCAAATGATCTGGTCTGGGAGCCTGAGCAGTGCTGCTCTTTAACATGTATATTTAAAAGAGCAGCCTCTAATAAAATTGGTTTTTTAAATGTGTTTTTTGCCATTTGGATCTCTCTTTTATTTCATTTCGTTTTATTGTAGCAAGAACATTTAACATGAGATGTATCCTCTTATTTTTAAGTGCACAATATATTATTGTTGACTGTGGGTAAAATGCATTACACATTTCTGAAGCTTATTCATCCTGCTTAACTGAAACTTTATGCCCACTGATTAGTAACTCTCCATTTCTTCCTCGCCACCAACCCTGGCGACTAATATTCTGCTCTTTAGTTCTATGAATTTGGCTGTTGTGAGGGTAAGTGGAATCATGCAGTATTTGTCTTTCTGTGACTGGTTTATGTCACTTAGCCTAATATCCTCCAAATTCATCCATGTTGTCCCTATATTGCAGAAGTCAGACTTAATATTATTAAAATGACCCTATTACCTAAATTGATCTACAGATGCCATGCAATCCTTATCAAAATCCCAATGGCATTTTTTACAGAAGTAGAAAAATAATTCTAAAATTCATAGGGAACCACAAAAGACCCCAAACAGCCAAATCAGTCTTGAGAAAAAGCAAAGCTGGAGACATCCTAATTCCTGATATCAGAATATATTACAAAGCTACAGTCATCAAAATGATATTGTACTGGCACACAGGGGGACATACAGATCAACAGAACAAAATAGAATGCCCAGAAATAAATCTACCCATATATGGTCAACCAGTCTTCAACAATGATGCCTAATAAAAATTTGAACTTCTCAGGAGCTGCCTGGGGAGAGGAATATGATACAGAGAAATCCAAGGGCAGCAATCGTCAGTCACTAAGGATTTCCAAAGCCCTTTCGTGTAATAATATTGTAGGTTCCACATAATTTGTCATACTCCTTTCTCTAAAATTATAGAATATTTTAATGTTTTCCTTTGATGGCAGTATATACTTTATCTTGAACTACCACAAATATTGTAGAATGATTTTTTTTTAATGTTCTAGCATTTTAAAAAAATTATCAAGAAGATTGAGTTTCTGGGGCACCTGGGTGGCACAGTCGGTTAAGCGTCTGACTCTTGATTTCAGCTCAGGTCACAATCTCATGAATTGTGCACTCAAGCCCCACATCTGCACTGTCACTGTAGAGCCTGCTTAGGATTCTGTCTCTCTCTCTCACTCTGGCCCCCTCCCCCACTTTTGCTCTCTCTCTCAAAATGAATGAACACTGGGGCGCCTGAGTGGCACAGTCCGTTAGGTGTCCGACTTCGGCTCAGGTCATGATCTTGCAGTCCGTGGGTTTGAGCCCCGCATCAGGCTCTCTGCTGACAGCTCAGAGCCTGGAGCCTGTTCCAGATTCTGTGTCTCTCTCTTTCTCTGCCCCTCCCCAGCCCGTGCTCTGTCTCTCTCTGTCTCAAAAATAAATAAACGTTAAAAATTTTTTTAAATTAAAAAAATGAACATTTAAAAAAAGAAGAAGAAAATGAGTTTCTAACTTTCTTATTGCTTCTGCTTGTGCTGCTGGCCAGTCTGCTAGCTGGCTGCTGAAGTAACACAGTACTCTTCCTAAAGTAACACGTGAAATATCTGTAATCAAGAAGGCTAATGATTAGGGACGCCAAGCTGAACACAGCTCCCTCAACATGGCTTCTCTCTGGTACTCAGGTAGATCACTCCATGGCCCCTGGGACCTCCAGCACAAAAGAGGAATATGTGACCTAGCAAAATCCTCCCCGGGTAGAATGGCATATGTTAAAACCCTTGACTCATGAAAGGCCAGACAAAAATGATCTGTGTGGTTCTTTCACACATTGCCTGTTTTCTTCCTTTTATGTTTTTTTTTTTTTTAATAATACATGATGATTACAGGAAATTTGGGAAGTAAAACAAATAAAAGACAGCCGCCCTGATATCTCCAGTTGTGCATCAGTGCTCCTGCGAATTTGATGTGAATAACTTGGGAGTTTTTGTTGGAGAGGAGAGCGTTTCAGGATGCTTGAGTCTGGTTGTCCAGCTTCTCCCGTTTCACCAAAGTTGACGTGTATTTCACCTTCTGCAGCAGTTTTTGGCTTGACTCTGAAGATTTTGTTTTCCATCCTGCACCCACCCAAACTTGCTGTTGTCTTCCCGTCTCGTACACAGTTTGTCTTTACACAGCTGCCTCCATATTGAACAGCGACTGCACTGTCATTGACAATGGTTGTAAAGAGCTGGCACTGAGCCCAAATGTCTGCTGTGGGAAATGTTGTTGTTATGTTACAATTTTTTGTTTCCTGTTTTAGAACAGCTCGGATGTTTTTATTTGCATATATTCACGTCATTATGTCACCAAGAGAGCTGAATGTTGCTTTCCTATATCTATTTTGGTAGATGCCATTAGTTTTGTTGCCATACATGACCTTTTATTAAGACTTCATTGAGTTCTCCCACACTGAACAATCCAGCCAAATTGCAATTAATTTATCACTCTCGCATATACCTGTCTCTCAGGACAAGCAGATTAATAACCAATAGCCAAATGCCATTAAAACTTGGAACTCTTGTCTTTTCAGTCAATTGGAATTCTCTTCCAGAGCACTTTGCAAAGAGCTGTCACTTATATTGTACATAGAAACAGGTAGCGTGTATTTTACTTGATGTCCCAACATCAAGTTGTGGCTTATATAAAAGAGGGGAATGTACTGGTAGGTTAACATGTGATATTCCCTTTCTTCTTTCGTAACCTCAGCCCACTTATTTTTCTGGAGACTACACAGTGGGAGTAGCTTTTGGGATTTTTCTAATGGACTGGTTTCTCGTGATCATGACAAAACAGTGAAGTCAACCTATATGAGTCTTAGAAAATACCATTGGCATTTAGAAGAGAACTTGATTATGAAAATTGGGCAGGGTAACTTTTTCCTAGTTTTTTTTGGCAATCCAGGTATTTTCTCAGTAAAAAGAAAAATAAACTGTCTTTGACACATCAAGGTTTCTCTACCTTCTCCAAGGGTATTTTACTTCCATTTGACCTTGAGCTCTGATTCCAGGCTAATGTTTGCCTGCCAGTGCTTTTCCTTTACCAGTAGCCTCCACGCTTCTTCAGTGGTGGGCATCCAGATACACACTTTAGGTCATAGGTTTGATATCTGCTTTAGGACATTGCCAAAGCAAGTGAGCTTGTCCATGTGCTCTTACTGTGAAGTGGTTTCATTGCTCCTCTAAATAATAGTCTTAAGTCAAAAAATGTGCTACCACCTCCTTCCCCCTCCATCCCCCCGCTAGTGGAAATTCACATATTGGCTTGCTCACAATGCCATGAGTAACTTTCTTATTAAAGCAGCTAACAGAGCATCCCCCCTTCAGCCCAGGCCCCCATGTCTGTCTGATTAGTTATCCATTAGCAAAGCAAGCATGCAGAAAGCGGAGAGCACAAGAGGGCAGTTGCTAATCACAAGGAATCTCCTCGAAGAGTATAGATCCCATAAATGAAATAGACCTTGAACTATAGGTGAAGATAGGGAGCAAGCCCAGCAAACTCACCAGAAACCCAGAGAATACAAGTCATAGCTCCAGATCCAAACAAGTTCATATGCAGACATTAAGCAGCAGTTGATCCAGCTTTGACCCTTATGTCAGTAATAATAATAGCGGTAGTAATAATTTGCTGTGTTAATTAAGCTTCCCATGTTCTAGGCACTATACTAAGCACTTAGATGATCTCCCTTACATCCTTGTGATGTTCATACTATATCCCCACGTTATAAATGAAGAAATAGAATCTTTGAGAGAGCAAGTAACTTCTTCAAGGAAGCACAGCTGGTATATTAGAAGCAAGAATCCCACCTTGGTCTAACTTCTGGTGTCCCTGTGCTTAATCATTAAGCTATCTTGCTGGTAAAAATAATGGTATCCCTATGGTGGCTTCAGATGGCCATGTTCAATTCAACTCTTATTTCTTGAATAAAAATACTCTTCTAGGGGCGCCTGGGTGGCTTAGTCGGTTGGGCGTCCGACTTTCGCTCGGGTCATGATCTCGCGGTTTGTGGGTTCGACCCCGCGTCGGGCTCTGTGCTGACAGCTCAGAGCCTGGAGCCTGCTTCAGATTCTGTGTCTCCCTCTCTCTCTGACCCTCCCCTGCTCATGCTGTCTCTATCTCTCTCTCAAAAATAAAATATTAAAAAAAAAAAACTACTCTTCTAGCCTTAAAATATGTAGCATGATGGACAGGACCTAAATCTCTCCTTTAAAATCATGTAGCCTGGCAGAGAACAGTGATGGCTGAACATGTATGATGTTTGGCAGATCATGTTGGATTGGGGTAAGTGCTAGAGCCAGAAAGAGAGATCAGGGAGCAAAAGAGCTCTCAGGGTGAGGTAGCAGGTGTGTGCACATAGTAATGACTGTCCAGCTACAGAAGAAGCTCAGAGACATTCCCTTAAAAGCCCTTTTGTAGATTATAGTCCCTGGCATGGCACATCTTGGAACTGTTTGGAGGATGATGTCTTTCAACCCTTTCCCAAAGCTGATAGCCCCCTTCTCTGTAGAATGTGGTTGTGTGCAGAACCGAGGATTTGTGGAACCCTGAACAGCTGATAAGCTGCTACCAAATCTTAGAGGTAACTTTAACTTCCATGCATTAAAGGCTGTTAAAGCTGATCCCCAGTAAGTATTGTCTGTATCTGACACCTTCTTAAAAGCATTTCAGTTTAAGGGTTGGTGATCTTTGGTAGATCTGTATGCTAGAACCTGAATGCTGTGAAGTGTAAAAGCCCAACCCAGGTGGGTTGTTTTGATCAAATGGCATCTCATTGCTTTACAGTTCTAGTTATTGTGTGTTCACCTTGTGTTACAGATTCCTTCTACAATCAGGTCTATTCATCAGGATAAAATCCTAGCACTTAGACAGCAGACACAATTCTTGTGGGAGGCTTATTTTTCTTCAGTTGAGAAGATTGTATTAACTACACTAGAGGTAAGTGAGACCACTTGGCTCTCCGTCTTGAATAATGGTCTTGATACACTTCTGTTGGCTTTCTCATCCATTATTGGTGAGGTGTAATTGGGTCAAATGGGACAAAACTGAATTTTATGCTCTTGGATATGTCAGTTAACCCTCTTTTACCTGGTCTGCCAAGCCCGAGCAGGTTCCCCCGTTCCTAACAAAGCTCCAGAGAGGAAAACTGACATGAGGAGAAATTCCACTCCTCGACACAGATATTGGCTCTGTCTTAACATCATTTCAGTGATATGTGGTTAATGACTACCCTGCTGTCCTTCACACTCAGTGACACCCTTTAAAGATCTATTTCTGGAGCCCATTTAGAAAACCGATAATGACCAAGTAGGGGAGTATCTCCTACCTTTCTCAAAATATAAGCAGTTTACTGGGCACCAGTGGCATCGGGGTACAACAAAATTAACTCTCAAGATCTGCACAGCCCAACCAGCATCAGTGTTACAAGGATGTGTCGAGAAGAAAATCAGGATCATACCTATCTGGTACAGAAAGTGTTAAACTTTATGAATGCAGAAAATCTTCTAGGCATATGGGTGCCCCTTTGCTTTTTATTACAGCAGGAGGGAAAAGGGAGAGAGAAGCATGGAGATGATTAAAACCTTTGGAAGTAGAACAGATAGTGATGGCCCGAGGCTACACCACACTAGCACAGAAAGCTAAGAAAAGATTTAGGAAACTGCACACTCATGAATTACAGGCTTGCAGGAAGGAGAGCAGAGGTCCTCTGGTGAGGCACAGCACTGAGGTGATTCTGAGGTGTTCGCATAATGCAATGGGGACATTTGTGGCCTCACTTGGAGTATCTACTTTGTGAAAGTGTTTACTGCTCTGGAAGCTAATGGAATTTGTAGCATACACTGAGGAGTCTGAGTAATGCCAAGGAAAACTGAAAATCATCCTGTTTTGTCCATATCACTGTTCTCTTGCTATCCACATATGACAGCCTGTGCTGGTCATGCCCTGGGCACAGTGGGGCATTTACCTGCCCTAAGCCTAGCCTGGGCCCCTGTCCTGGTCAGAGTCTTCTCATGAATGGTGCACATTTGTTTTTTCATCCTGGACCTAGGTGAAAGGGGCTATTTAGGACCCAGGCCCAACCCATGAAGGGACAAGTCAGAATGGCTTCTAACGGCTTCCTTATTGCAAGCAAATCTCTTATTCCTCAACACTGATGGCATTTTCTTTTCTGTTCATAGCAGCAGATTTGAATATGTAATAGTTTTTACTCTTCTCTCTTCCTTCCATCCAACACCCTTCCTAGACCCTTCTTAAGGAAAGTTGAATGTCAGTTCTTTTTCTTTGTGGAATGAGTGCTTTCTATTTAAAAAGGTACATGGATAATGGAAAATACTTAAAGCATAAAAATCAAATCATCTACCCATACAAAATCACTGTTGATGTATAGATACACACAAACACATATATATATTGGCTTTTTCTATGCAAATTTATACATATGTTGCAATTTTTTATTTAAAGAATAGTCTTTCAGGGGTGTCTAGCTGTCTAGGTTGGTAGAGCATGCAACATGCAACCTTTTTTTTTTAATGTTTATTTATTTATTGTTGACAGAGAGAGAACAACCAGAGATGGGGCAGAGAGAGAGGGAGAGAGAGAATCCCAGGCAGACTGGCTCCACACTGTTAGTGCAGAGCCCAACACGAACCATGAGATCATGACCTGAGCCGAAATCAAGAGTTGGGAGCTTAACAGACTAAGCCACCCGTGTGCCCAAACATTCAACTCTTAATCTCAGGGTTGTGAGTTCAAGCCCCACATTGAGCATGGAGCCTACACGAAGCCCATGTATACCTTAGATTGCAAGTAACTTGTTCCGTGAGTGTTCTGCAAGACAAGCAAACATTTCTTATAAATTTTAATGTGGTAAACAAGCAATGTCTTGCAATATTAGTACATGATGCCAAACATCATATCATCACAGCTGAGCCAGTGATTCTTGAAATTCACTTTGATATACAGGTGTTTTGGATTACAAGCATGTTTCTGGAATGAATTATGCTTGCAAACCAAGGTTTTACGGTGGATATGTATTTATATTTATCATATGCATATATGTAATTTAGATTATATATACATATATAATGTAAACCTGTTTATAATGTTTTTTTCTGCTGTTAATAATATGTTGTTAATATTTTGTCATGTTAGATGTTTCTACAATGATTTTAATGACATGTAATATTCCATTCATGATATCACTTAATTTCTTTAATTATCCTCAATTTGAAGACTTTACAATTGTTTCTGCTTTTTCATTATTTATATGCATTATTGAGGCAAATAGTCTCAGCACTAAATTGTTGTGCAGGTTCAAAATTACTTCCTTAAGATTAATTCCTTGAATTCAAAGTCCTGGTTCAAAGAATGTGACAAATGCTAAGACTTCTAATAAATTGTCCATTTTCCTGAGCTAATTTATATTCCCTCCAGCTTATATGAGAGGACCTGTTTTTATTATTTGGGGTATTTTTCACTTTCACCAATATTGGACATTATATCTTTCAAAATGATTTAAGTCATTATTTTTTAATTTATATTTCTTAGGCTATTAGTAAGAATGAATATTTTTCATATTTCTTAGGCAACTCACAAAGAAAGAAATAGAAATGGCCACAACTTTGTCCCACTTTTTCTTACTAATTTTTAGAGCTTATTCGATTAAAAATATTAACCCTTTGACTCTCTTATTGCAAATATTTCCCCAAACTTGTGGTATCCCTTTCAATTATGAGGCAGTCTTTTCATCTGTGGCTTTTTCATTTGCTACTGTTTAGAAAGGACCTTTTGACCCATAATTTAATTTATACAAACACTCCCTTATAATTTTCTAGTACTTTCATGGTTAACGTTTTACATTACGTGTTTAATACTGTTTACTTTTTTATATATGACCTGTGTTGAAAAATCTTTTTTCTTTTTTGACAGATTATCGTGTTGTTTGTCCCAACATATTAAGTTTTCTTACCTCAGTATTGTCACATGCCACATTTATGCATCGTTGAGTCTATTTCAGACCTTTTGTAGGGGGGTTTTATGTTTATTTATTTATTTTGAGAGAGAGTGAGAACAGGAGAGGCAGAAGGGGAGAGAGAGAATCCCAAGCAGACTCCACACTATCAACAAAGAGCCCGACATGGGGCTCAGTCCCACGAACCATGAGATGATCATGTGAGCCGAAACCAAGAGTAGGATGCTTAACTAACTGAGCCACTCAGGAGCTCCGTTTTTGGCCTTTTGATTTTGCCCTGTTAGTTGTCCACCCTAAAACACCGAGGCCACTTGTTTTCATTTTTCCTGCTCTGTATGTCCTCGTTTGGTGGACCTCTCTCTGTTTAACCTACTATCATGGACTATTAATGTTGTTTCTAGTTATTTATTTTGTATAGATCTAGATATCTTTATCCAAGCAATGAGTTTCTCCATGTAACTTAGGCTACAACTCTTATTTCTTTAGGCTACAGTCCTTAATGTGGGCTTGTTGCTGAGCAAGAGTCTAGGTTCATGATAAGCACTGCCAGATTACCCTTCCAGAAGGATGCATCCGTCTGGACCCTCATAAGCCATCTGGGGGGAGACCTTCTCTAGCTGTGCTCTTGTTAGCCTTAAGGATCATAATTAAAACACACACATACACAACTTTGCAGATTTGCCAGATGAAAGATAGTATCTCATTAATTACATTTCTTTTGAGTATTCTGCATAGAGCTGCTCTCTTGCCTATTCAGTTAGCAGTGTGCAGCTATCCTGAAAGAACAGTTGGATGTGTTATGTTCATCAGAAGAGAATCTCAAGTCAAGCTGTTGTCATCTCTGCTGGAAAGGCCTTCTTCCCCTTGGATTTGAGCCATGCAGTCCTCTAGCGACACAGTTGTTTTGAAAACACTGTGAACCATACACTTCATTCAAATTTATAGCAACTGTCAAATCTCCTTATATAGTTCCAAGATTGGATTGTAACAGTTTGACCTCTCAACCAAATTGCATGAAAGATACCATCCAGTTTCCCTTTTTAATTCAGAACTCAGATTATCCCAGAATTCAATGTAAATAGAAAAGCAGAGAAAATAGCAGAAAATGCCATCCGCATTCACAGATAAAACCAATGTGTTTATGAAAACAACTTAAGTATCACATATCAAAAATGCCTCTCGGCTTAGAGCTTAGATGATAGAAGTCAGTCTGTGCTAGAGCTCCTAAGTTATAAGGTTAATTCAAAATTACCCGTAGATAACATAGATTTGAGGATCCTTTGTTTTCAGGATGTTCCACACCCAGACTCTAAAACTCTGGGTCTTCCTTGCTTGCTATACATGAGACCATGGAAGGGGATTACTCGGTCTTTGGAGTGTATGAGCCTTAGTGTGGTGGTAATGCGTAGACACAATTGAAAACAGGATGCCATCTCTCCAATGCCAGGGTCAAGTTGTTAGTGCATTCCACTGCACTGCACTCTGTCATACTTGGGATTTGGCTAGCATTTCCAGTCTGATAGAAACTTCCTAATACTGCATCTTGGAATTAAGGGGCTATTTAACAGAGCTAGGCTCTTTGGAGCTCAGTTTTTGTGTGTGTATACAAGTTGAGAAGTAATGATGGGGACAATGATAAAATATTGCAAAGACCAGTGTTCCTTTATGGATTCCATTATTTGTCGGAATATTGCACAGCAGTGACCTGGCACTAACGATTGAACCATAGGAGCTCAGTCAGAATCAAGATGACTGAAAGATAAGTGCACTAAGTTGTAATAACATATAAAAAGAGCTGATGGTAGTTTGGAAAGCACATTTTTAATGGAGTTTTTGAAGTATGCTCCAATTTTTTCTCTTCAGTTACCTAACAATGCACATTCAAACCGTGCCATTGCTAATGCTGTTGTATGGTGAAATATTAAAATCAATGAAATAATGGAAATAGAATGCTTTGGCTCAGAGTGAGGTGGCATATGGTGGCACTGTGTGTGAGAGGCAACATTGCATTGGTCAAAAGACCAAGTCAGGGCCACACAGAATGACTAACCTATAACCATTAGTCCATTATTTAGAAGACAGATGGCACATAAAAAAAGAAAAATAAGGAGTCTGCCATTTTTCCCTTTGAATTCATATTAATGAGAAATATTATCCTTATCAAGGGTACCATTTGTGTCTATAATGAAAAACCTTTGCATTATGTGTGTATATGTATCTGTGTGTATGTTTGTGTTGATTTTCTTTATAGCCAAAGAAGTGCCCGACTTCTAAATGTGATGTCTTTTTCCACAACAATAAAGATTGAGCTCTAGAGCCCTGAAAGGATCCTGGGAGCTGTCCAGTGTAGCAATAGGGAGATTTGGACATTAGGAGAGGGAGAGAATGACTTTCCTATTTGGTAAGATGAGATCCATACTTGTTCAGACTTTTGAGAAGGCAAGTTGATAACAAACCTTTTAGGAAACATTTGTCAATGCGTATGAACTGCTTTAACAGTGTTTGTAAACTTTGAAAGACTCCTAAAGAATAAGTTCTAGGGGCACCTGAGTGGCTCAGTCGGTTAAGCATCAGACTCTTTAATTCGGCTTAGGTCATGATCTCACGGTTCGTGGGGTTGAGCCCCACCTCAGGCTCTGCTCAGACAGCACAGACCCTGCTTGGGATTCTCTGTCCCTTCCTTTCTCTGCCTCTCTCTCAAAAATAAGTAAATAAACGTTTTAAAAATGAATCAATTCTAGGTGTGGAAAATTGTAATTCATAAATATAATCATTGCTCTGCGTGGAAAAAATTACACTATTTTTGGTCCTTTAGGATACCTAGCCCATGAATACTATTAATAATATGGAAAGATACCTATAATATCTGATATCTGTGATATTAAATCTATGTACAAATAGAAAAATCTATGCCTAGAAAATGAATTCAGGAATGAGATTTTTTTAAGGCAAAAAAATCAAGTCCCAAGTATAAAAACTTAGGCAGCTATTCCTAACAAATTCTGAGAGGTTATTATAATTTACGTGATATTTTATTTCATTACACATGAGATAAATGAGACATAAAGATGGCAGGTTACTTGACCCAGGCTAAATTAAGCATTTGCTGTTGCCCTTATAACTTTACTGATATCTTCCTATCAAGATTCATTTGAAGAGAGTATAATATGCCTCTTGGTATCTCAGAAAATTACTATAACTTGTTGTATCCTTGAATTTCAAGTGATAACAATGTTGTGATACTAAGCCAGAAGGGATATGACAATGAGAAGCATATTGCCCAGGAACTCAAAGTGAATGGTGACCCACCTTGTGGCATCCTGAGTCCCCACATCATTTGTATATATGTCGGATTTATGATGCTGTCTCCTTTCAATTTATTCTGTGTCTCGATATCCAGGTTCATTTAAGTAACCACATGCTGGAAGGCACATAAATTTGGAAAGCAAAAAAAGAGGATCTACATGAAAAACTAAAAGGGAAAATAGACAGTAGATTTGGAAGGTATAAATAATATAGAACTAGAATAAATGGTACATCAAGTGAAATTGTTAGCCACATAAAAACCCTTAACAACCATAAGAAGTTCCTCATAATTAATGCCTAGACAACAGCATTTTAACACATGTCCGTTGTACCACAGAGAGTAAACATTAATATTTTAGCTAGCTTCCTAAACTCTCCACCAAAGTAGAAACCACTACCTAGCCATAGAAAATTAGCAGTTTTGATCTGGAGGAAAGAGAAAATGCAGAAATCACTAAAGTATTTGAGTTCTTTCAAATTACCTCCTTGCGTCCTTTCTTCTCTCTCACTAAGAAACATAAACATGATAAGGTTTGCAAAAATAAATGTAGCTCACTTTATTACTTATCTATCACTATGTGGGATGAGACGAATGTGTTAATAACCTTCACAAATAATAAAGCTCCATTTAAAACGGTCTTTACTTAAAATCACATTGCATTAAATGGAGACCTGGAAAATAATGATTTAGGTCTTAAATCTCTTAAGAGACATGGCAGGCTTTTTCTTTTTTTTAAGTGCAAAAAATAATTGCTGCAAACATGAAATCCTGTATCAAGTTAATTATTTGCCAAATCATATCTTAATGAGTGGATGGTATAATTACAAGAGTTTGAAAGTCACAGAGAGAAATCTGTAAAGAGGACTAATCATGTTCATCTGACAAATGATTCAGGATGGGAGAATGTTTGACTCTAAATGTAGAATTTAATGATCTGCGAGGTCCCAGAGTCCAAAGAAACTAATGAACTAGCATGGCTATTAGTCTTCATATGCCATGGTTCTTGTCCTATTATGTGGGATGTTTTGAGCAATTGTTAACTCACTGCTTTTTGAGGTGAAATGTAGAAAAACTTCAGCTAACCAGTACCCCAAAGTCCTACAACTGACTTTGAAAGGAAAATGAAATATGACAGATAAATCCGCCTCCTGAATTAAAGGAACAGATCAGAACTTCAACAGCTTCTAGAATGTACCACACCTTGTGTACCCTCCCAACCCAGTCTCCACACGGACATCTATGTGGACCGAGAATAGATCTTCCTGGCGGGGATCTGGAACCACAGCTGGATGCTTGGCCATCAAGGAAACTGTTCCACGCGTTCTGCTTTCAAATGAGAATGGACTTACCTTTATAGAAAGACAAAGTAGAATTTATGGTTAAACTGAAGTTCAGTTAGGAAATTGATTAGCCATAATTCATAATTCTTTCTCACACTCTCTACCATCACTCTTTTTGTGTCCCGGACACTTTATCCACGAAGAATTTGGGGGTAGTCGCTCCTTGGAGGGTCATCATTCCCCAAATTTGGATTGCACACGCTCCTTATCAGATACCATCAAGGTTTCATCCTCATCCCGTGCTGTGTTTTTATTTTCTAGATTATTCAGGACAGAATATTCAAGCACATATCACGTAACAGTTTAATATGGAACAAACATCCTGGAGGACTGTTCGTACTACCACAGTATTCATCTTATCTGGGAGACTTTCCTTACTACTATGCTAACTTAGGTAAGTGAGTTCCTTTCAGGAACTTGTTTACCCCTCAGCTGTTGTCCACACTTAAAGTCCCTTGATTCTTTCTGTTCTAGAGCAGGGTCTTCCTTCCAGCCTGCCTGGGCCATTGATTCCTAGGGCCTTGTCATAAATGGTGTATCAAGATCAAGAATTACAAATCCAGCAGAACACTGCAAAATGAAAAAACTCCTTTCTTGTCTGAGCAGCTGTACTTCACGTTTAGTGGAGTCCTTCCTTTTTGAGAAATGGGCTCCCCAAGTGACAGATCATTTTGAACGTGACAATGGGTTTGCTGTAATTTTACGTCTCCTCTTAAACAAAATGGAACCAGAAGAGCTCTCCCTAATTTTTTTTTCTTTGCGATCTCAACATGTCTCTCTCCTACCAAAGAAAAGTGGAATTAATAAAGGGAAGGGAGATTTAATAATATGTGACAAGGAAGAAACTTATTCACCCGTTTAACATTTGTTGTGTTCCTCTTATATGTCCTGTTAGTGCAACACTACATGGTAGAAATAAGGAGTCAGATGAGACACAATCTCTGCTCTTCAGCGGCTTCTAGCCTAATCACCCTCGGGGAAAGGGAATGGACAGGGTCCGAGACAAAGCTCTGCCAGTACTGCCATAGCCGGTTATGTTTTTGCAGACTCACCTGTGCTAGTGTTAACAGGATTTTAGCCATTTCCCATCATTCACAGTTCCAGATTGGAGCAACTCTGGGGTGGTAAAGCATCTTTCAAGATGTTGGAAAAAGACTCTGGATTGTCCACCCTGTGCAGATGTTCCCCATAACAATCTCATCCTTGAGTTGTGGGTGTTTAATTTGAAACTGATAAAAAAGAAATTTAAGGAAAGCCCTGGCCTGAAGTATCACCCAGTGGCAAAAAACCCTTTAACCCACACCAAACATGTTATGGGGACTGGTAGTAAAATCAGGGACTGGCCTACACCGGGTAATACACTTAGAATTTGATAACTTTCAGAAGAAGGCCATATTTGATAAAAATCCCCACGTATTTCTTGTAGAGCTAGTGAGATCTTCATGCGGAGCGAGCACATTAGAAGTGTGTACATGATGCTTCTCAAACTAGTATAGGAAAATGCAAAAGCAGTGACTTGTCCTCACCGTGAAAAAGGGAACCCCTCCATCATATGTATTCTTCTTTGGCAAAATTTTGATTGTATATCTAGATAGTGAGGAAGTTAGTTTTTTTCTAACATGCAATTAAAGTACCAATTGGAAGATACAATTTGCTCTACAAGACACTCATTGAATTCTTTAATATGTGTGGTCTGATTCTTCCCTTTATTCTATCAACACCAAAGCTTAACTTGAATGTCACTGCACACTCTTGTTTGCATTTAAGCTACCAAAATGGCAAAACTTGTGGGGCTAAACTAGTGAAGTCTTAAAAACCTTTTAAACCCTGTGTCCAATTTCTTAGTGAGTTCTTACAAAAACACTCATTTGGGGGAGAAGCCGTCTCACTTCTTTCTCTTTGGTGGTAGTGCCTGTTTTGCATATTTATGACACCTTTCTACGTAGGGCTTCAGAACACACAGTTGGCAGAGGTCTGGGTCACATACTGATTCTCTCAGTTTCTGTCAGCACTACACAGAAAGAGCTTCTTGGGAGCATAGAAGCTTCTGCTCCAAAATGATCATGACGATGGTGATGTTGATGGTGATAGAGATGATAGCCATGAACAGATACTGAGCACTTAATATTTGCTGGGTCCTGTGCTACCTGCTTGGAAAGGACTCGCTCCTTTAATTCAGTTCTGATAATAACCCCACAGGTTTGATGCTCTGACTGTGAGCCCCATTTCACAGCTGTGGAAACACCAAGGAGAAGATCACATCACCACTAGGGAATAGCACAGAGATTCAAACCCAGACAGTGAGGCTCTGGATGCTTTTCTTTTAACCTTTACTGATTTGCTGGTTATAATTTGAAATAATATTAATCAGGCAAAACAAACAAAAACACAAAAAAACAAAAACAAAAGAAAAACAACCTTAACTACTTTATTAAGATTAAGAGCTCTTCAAATACCCAGGAAGAGAAAGTACATTTAAATCCATATTAAGATATAAGTGACTAGCATAGACTTTCTGGAGTCGAGGGAAGTGAGTGGCAGGGTGTGTGTTAAGATTTGGGGTGCCTAGGGGCGCCTGGGTGGCTTAGTCGGTTAAGCGTCCAACTTCCGCTTAGGTCATGATCTCACGGTTCATGGGTTCGAGCCCCGCATCGGGCTCTGTGCTGACTGCCAGCTCAGAGCCTGGAGCCTGTTTCAGAGCCTGTGTCTCCCTCTCTCTCTGACCCTCCCCTGCTCACGCTGTCTCTCTCTCTGTCTCCTAGAAATGAATAAAACATTAAAAAAAAAAGATTTGGGGTGCCTAAAGAGCAGACGTGTGACCAAAGATGCATCCCCAGGGGAGGAAAAGATTCTCAAAGGAAGAATCTGCAGATGGACATTGAGCTGTAAATTAGTGAGGTCCCGGAGACTGAGGCAGCAGTTAACTAGCAGCTTTTCACCTTGTTTTTGTTCAGTCAGGACATAAGAGGCGCAGGAAATATGCTAGGAGGGAACATTCGCTTAGGGTGAGGCAACGGAGCGAGGAGGAATGATTTTCTAAGTGTTGTTTTCCAGTGTTTCATTGGCTCTTCTCCTCTTTCTATTTCAGGTTTAAAGCCCCCCTCCAAATTCACTGCAGTCATCCATGCAGTGACGCCCCTGGTCTCTCAGTCCCAGCCAGTGTTGAAGCTTCTCGAGGCTGCAGCCAAATCGCAGTACTGTGCCCAGGTGAGTGGGGGCTGCCGGCAGTACCTGCCTCCGCCAGCTCAGCGGACCAGGGACCCCCGCTCTTACCTGCTCTCCGCTTTGCTCCCTGGGACTCATCTAACGTCATGCCCTTGTTACTCCCCTTTCATTTGTCATGCCTTGTTACTCCCTCGTCATCAACTTAGAAGTTCTCGCAAGTGAAATATCGCACGGGTAAGGGATGGGTTACAAAGAGATTTTTCGCTGGGGTTACGTTTAAATATATATACCAACACGTTCTTTAAAGAATGCATAAGCACATCATTTTGCTTTTAAATCAACGTGGTAAAGTAACATCAGAAATGCCGTGGGAGGAAACTAAGTTTCAATGGAAGAAACAGATTTGCTGGTTTCAGGAGGCATCTTTCATATCAGCCATGACTTAATTATAAAATGGGGAGCAGAAGAGTCAACCTTTGATAATAAAGTTTTCCAAATCAGTGTCACTCCCATAGTCTTAACAGTGGTTTTCTGATTTGTAAATTGGGTTGTATAAGAAGGCTTACAAACAAGGAAAGAATTAACTCATGTTGAAGTATGTCTTTTTGAACACCCTTACTGGAAATAATAAAGTCACATAAAACCAGCAACCAGTGCTGACCTGGAGAATCCACATCATGAGCTTGCCAGGCGAGTTCCATCTTGAATTCTGTTATCTCTCCCACATTGCCTGGAGTAGCACTGGCTCGTAGCCAGCGTTCAGATGTTCACTACATGTTTTTATTTAATTTGGTCAGTGTTGTTATCTTGCTCATGGTAAGGCACCAGAATTTAGGAAACCACTGTGTTAAGATTCAACAACCCTGAAGTTTACTTCTTTTCTCCCCAGCTTTCTCCTCCCTCCTTGTTGTTTCAGGTTACTCTTTCTGCCCCATGTCTCTAGTTGTTGAGGTCACCAGATTCTGAAGATTGCGTGGGAGGGGACTCTCTTTAAAATTCAAGGTCGATGTCCACCTCTCTGCCTTGCTTAGGCTCCATGTCCTCTCCCTCTTTCTGTCTCTGAGAAGGAGCTGAGTTGGAGGCCAGTATAAAGCCAGCCTTCTCAAGCCATCTAACGATCCCCTGTCCCTTTCAGATCATAGTTCTATGGAATTGTGACAAGCCCCTACCAGCCAAACACCGCTGGCCTGCCACGGCTGTGCCTGTCATCGTCATTGAAGGAGAAAGCAAGGTAGGACGGGAAGGTGGCCCTGAGTGTGGAACCACCATTGAGTCTTTGATTCTCCACGGGGCGCTTTGGGCATTGGCCATAGATGGCTTCTTCCTGCCCAGGGAGCTTCCTGCCCTGGACTCTTTTCTCTCATATTGTCCCTGGGTCCCCTGGGTGGCTCAGTCAGTTAAGTGTCCAACTTATGCTCCGGTCATGATCTCATGGTTCATGAGTTCCAGCCCCACATCAGGCTCTCTGCTGTCAGCACAGAGCCCACTTCAGATCCTCTGTCTCCCTGTCTCTCTGCCCTTCCCCTGCTTGAGCTCTCTCTCTCTCTCTCAAAAATAAATACAAATAAATATATAAATGAATGAATGAATGAATGAATGAACAGTGAATAAATAAATGAATAAATAAATAAATAAATAAATAAAATTGGCCCTGTCGCTGAATATCTTTAGCTTTGACAGCCATAGGTTCTCAAATTGGGGGATCCTGGGTCCTAATACTTACTCTTTAGGAGCTTTGTGACCCTGAATATGTTTTCTTTCTCTGAGCCTCAGTTTCCTCATCTATAAAGCAGAGGTAAAGCTTTATAGGTGAGCCTATATTCATAGGGTTGCTATTAGGATTAAATGAATTCGGGACCGGGACCTGGCAATAGTGATCTGTCTATAAAAGATGAGGATCCAGATGAGGCTGCCGATGCGATGGTGATGCATGAGGTTTGCTTGGCTCATTAATCTGGATTAGCTGTGTCTTTCAGAATAGTGGCTCGTCCTCACATTTGTCTTCTAAAGGACGTTTGCATTTTAATTTCGTTTGGGTGTCTCCATCAGAGCCTCACAGGTGCTGCCTAGCTGGCCATTGCTTCCAGTCTCCAATTCATTTTGCCTAGAATGGAATGAACTTCTTAATCATCTCACAGCCTCAAGGGATTCTATTTGCTAGTGCTTTAAATTAACATTTGAGGATGTGTAAACTGTTCTTGGCCAGCCTTACCAGTCTTCTCTCTCATTGCTCTCCCCCACAGACCCTGTCCTCTCCCGAAAGTTACCTAAATTGCCTTCCTGCCTCTAATTCTTGTCTTTCCCATTTGCTCTAAGTCATCCCCATCCCTTCTCAACCCTTCATCTCTGTTGTCAAAATCCCCAGGTACTCTTTATTCCCTGTTCCCATGCAGCCTTCCCTTTGGGGTTTCTTCCACTATGGGCAGCCAGAGGAGAGTTCTTTTTTTCTCTAGATTCTGCTTGTTACTTTCTTGTAGGTCATAATCCATTGCGAAGCAATTAGTGGCTCCTAAATAAAACAGATTGGTGAAGCAGAGTCGTCCAAGAGACATCCTTTGTCTGTGCCCAAGGAGTCCGGTCATGAGAGGTTCTCATACTAAGTAAAACATCTTTGAGCCAGAATAAAACATATCAGTTAGGTCAGATCATTCAAAGCCATCATTTGACTTGCTAAAAGTGACAGTCTCACATAGTCCAGCATGATGCAGTGAAAGCTGTAAATGTCACGTGGTCAAAGATCAGTGCGTTATGTGGTCATTTCCAGTGTATGACTGCCTGCCGTGTGCTGGGCACCATGCAATATTGTGGAACACAGTGCGGAATGTGGTAAATAGAATGCCAGCATTCCCGGGGCTGGAGTCCAGCAGTGTGGTTATCCAAGAGCTGCTTCATAAGCATTTAATGAGTAAAGATGAGAATTAGAAAAGCACCTGCCTCTCACCATGGCTCTTACTTACTCTTATGAAATCCATCTCCCCATAGATGTGGTTTAACAAAAGGGATGGTGCACAAAAATCTCCTGCCTATGATCCCATATATCTGTCTCCCCAGTGCCAGTGCCTGAGGTCCCGAACAGTGCTCAGATGGATGCTATCAACTTTGGACTTGGGAATTCATTGTTGTTTTGTGCTTCCGTGGGTGACTAGATCTCCTTCTGGTAGAGAAGTCTTCCTCTGAATTTGTTAGAATATCCAGACAGGTTCCATTCAGACTAACTGGGAGCGATTATGACTTCTGTAACTCAGTGTTGCATTTTTATGCACAGATTCATTGATGGATTTTATATTTTCACCCGGTGAGTAGTCCCAGTTTCTTTAGTTACCAGATGGTAGCTTTTATCAGATGTAGCTTATAAGATACTTCATATTCTCCCCACCATATCTGTGGCTTCTTGCCGTTTGTTGAGTCCTAGCCTCCGCCTTGCCCACCGACTCCAGTGGGCCATGTGATTCCTTTTCCCTCACTCCCACTGCCCTGGGATTGCACCATGTAGTAAAGCATTTGCACTTAAGTAAGTATTGCCTAAGGCTCTGTATTCTGGGGATCCTAGGCTAAGACTCAGGCCCATTTGGAGGATTCAATGAGATAGTGCATTATAAGTGCTTAGCCTGGTTCCTGTTATATACCAAGGGTACAATAAAAGTCAGCTACTCTTCTGGGAGGCATTGTAATATTTATATTATGGACTCTAAGAAGAGTTACTTAACTCCCTGTGCCTCAATTGCTCCTTCAGTAAATGGAAGCAATCATAATACCTAACTAACAGGGTAGCTGAAAGATCAAAATGGTACAACACTATACTGGTAATCACACTTAGAAGTATGTATGCACATGCTCGGTGCTCGGTAAATGTTAACTCTTACCGTTTCTTTAATTGCTTATGGATATTTCTTTTCTTCCCCATTAGACAATAAACTTCTTGAGTCTTGGTCACTTCTTAGTCATGTTTGCTAATCCTAGAAGAGGTTGGGCTGCTATACGATAGCTAAATATTTTTTACACGAACTAACAAAAGCCAGTTCACTCAGGATTGACTTTGTAAGGCCACCAGTTCCTTTCATGCTACATGCTAAACATTCAACTTTTGGAATGTAGCTGAGGCCAGGTATTTGAAAGGGAGCCTCTAGTTTCTACACTAGAATTTGAAGTGGCTGGATTATGGGCTCTTAACCTCTGTTGATGAAGCACGTTCAGAAAAAGGAAGTGGATCCTTTTAAAACCGGTTGTTGGGACCATAATGGGAAAGGAGTCATAGGTCTCCTTATTCCCCATTTTACATTTCCATACCTAGCTTTGAGTTTAGAGTTGATGTATTTGCTGCTTTGGCTGCAAAATTCTCTTTTGAATTTATAGGCCTTGTCTTTGCAGCTCTCCCCCTAAAGACTTAACAAGGGAAAGGTCAGGGCATCACTAAGCTGGCAGCTAATGGTTTCTGTGTTTGTCAGTGGACGTGGAAACAGTATCAGGAGAATTGCTGCAGGCTGAGATTTCTGAGCACTGTGTATATGGGGTTGCTGATCACTTTATATTTTATTTTCTTTTGAAAGCCTGAGAAAGGAAAAGAAAACTTGACCCAGTTGACAGATGTGTAGGAGCAGACCCGGGAGCCATTTATGCTGTAGATACATCCCTTGAGCTCCCAGAGTTGGGAAATGTGGGCACTTCCCATCCTTTGATGTCAGAACCCCTCCAGTAACTGCACGGGCACGGAAGCCGAATCTGAGATGCAGGTGCATGGACGAGCTGGCTTTGTGCTGTAAATACAGCTTGAGCTTCTTGGGGGAGAGGGGCTCAGATTTGTGGAGAGCAGACCCTTGGTAGCCAAGTTCAGGGTCTCATTTCTCCCTCTGTCTCCAATGACCACCTGCTGCATTCCCTGGCCTTTTGTGCCTTGGAAGTGGATGGCAAGTGTGCCTTTTCTCTCAGTCTCCAGGTGTGAATTTAGAGAGGATGTCATAACTGTGAATATAATTTCCACAGGAAGGTGGTGAATATGAGATCGCTTTATATGCCCCCAGTTCACTTTTGGGGTCCTTGTCAAACCTGAGGCAGGTCCAAAATGGTGGCTGAGGTGCTCTGTAGAACCTCACCATCCGGGATGTGGTGCTGGAAGGTCCATCTAAAGCAAGACATCTAGGGGCACCTGGGTGGCTTAGTCGGTTGAGCGTCCGACTTTCGCTTAGGTCATGATCTCGCGGTTCGTGGGTTCGAGCCCCACGTCGGGCTCTGTGCTGACTGCCAGCTCAGAGCCTGGAGCCTGTTTCAGAGCCTGTGTCTCCCTCTCTCTCTGACCCTCCCCTGCTCACGCTGTCTCTCTCTCTCTCTCCTAGAAATAAAAAAATAAAAAAAAACATTAAAGCAAGATATCTAACCTTTCTATGCCTTAGTTTTCTCAGCTGTACAATGGGGTTATTATAAAGATGAAACAGGATGACGTGTATAAAGAACTTGGGACATTTCTGACACATAGTAAATGATTTTTTTTTTTTTACCACGTTAGTTATTCTTAAATCATCATTCTCATGGTTAGTCATCCTGCAGTACATTCAGCACAGAGGTTTAAGGTATGACTGTCACAGAGAAGTGTCTCTAGACTTAATTTTTCCATCTGGTCCCTTCATCCGCAAAGCCCTCACCACACGCCCCCACCCCTCCCACACACACCTCACCATGCCTTATCCTAGAGTTGCCCAAACTTTATTCATATAGTGCCTTCACAATGTGCCTAAATCCTTAGACCACATGTGCTATTGTTTATTTAATATTTCTCCATAAATCAGCTTACTTTTCATTTCAGTGAAATTATTCTTGAGTAAGTTTACTGCTCCCTGTTACTGCTATAGCCACTAATCTCTGTGTATATATATATATATTCTCATCTGCACTGACATCAGTGAAGAGTAGAATTTTCAAATGTGTGTCCCCACACCTCTGGAAATGACGTGGCCTTCTAGTGGTGTGTGATCCCCACTTGGAATCATGGCTCCATCTGTCCCCTCTTTCCAGGCCTCAGGGTGCTGGTGCTTTCCTCTGTGCCTTCACACATGCTGAGCGCTGTTTCTGCCTCACTTCTTGTTATACCCGGTGAATTCCTGTCCATCAGGTCCTACTTCAGTGTCCCATCTTGTCTAAGGTTTTCATCTGCTCTTCCAAGTGGCTGGCTGCTGCATCCTGTGCGCTCCTGCATGATCTATATCCGCCTAGCACCGGTCACCTGCATCTTGATGTCTGTGGACTGTGAACTTTCCTGAGACAAGAGAAAGTGTCTTAGTTACCTTGCACTCCCTTTGACTAGCAAGGTGTCTGTACAGAGTAGGTGCCCAGTGACTAGATGATTCTCCACTGATGGGAAATGGAAATATGCAATGTTGAAGGATGACGTGGTGGTAGAACATTCTTTTTTTTAATTTTTTTTTTTTAAATTTATTTCTGAGAAAGAGAGAGAGAGACAGCGTGAACAGGGGAGGGTCAGAGAGAGAGGGAGATACAGACTCCGAAACAGGCTCCAGGCTCTGAGCTAGCGGTCACTACAGAGCCCGACGCAGGGCTCGAACCCACGAACCGTGAGATCATGACCTGAGCCAAAGTCAGACACCTAACTGACTGAGCCACCCAGGCGCCCCTAGAACATTCTTTCTGAAGGTGAGGATGGGGAAATTTGCCTGAGAACAGATCTCTAAATTTACCTGTCTTGTCCTCAATTCCTTTCCTCCTGCCTGCTTTCTCCCCACCCCCAGGTTATGAGCAGCCGTTTCCTGCCCTATGACAACATCGTCACAGACGCAGTGCTCAGCCTTGATGAGGACACTGTGCTTTCCACCACGGAGGTAAGGAGCAGGCATGGGCTCTTCGGGCAGGTACCCCAAGCCCCAAGAGGCCACAGTTTCTTTTGCCCTTGCCTAGGCTAACTTGAAAACCTTTGCCCAAACTTCCTGCACAGTCAGTCGGTTTTAATCAACCTGGTTCCTGTTAGCACCTTGCCACTACCTGGAACCTAGATGAGGGCATTTTTCCCCCTTTGTTTTCTCTGCTAATTGGCTCCTCATTTGCATGGCTGTGCCTCACCTCTCCCCTCCTGTCTGCCTCCCTTTTGTTTTTAAATAGCACAGCTGTGGGCAGGTGTGTGGAGCCTAAGGTGGGGGGGCACCTGGCTAGCATCATCTTGAGACCACATAGTCCAGAGCAAACAGGCCGTCCTTCCCCAATTATCCTAATGCCTGTGTGCATGTGTGTGTCGCCTTTGTTAGGGAAAGCTATTCTGGGTTCTGAAGGCAGCCCTTCTGTCTCGGATTCAAGTGCTCATTTTCCTTCACCCACACAAGAGCAAACGATTTCACTTTTAAGATGGAGACAGAGATCCTTGCTATTTCAGATGTTCAGGTATTTGTGCCAAAAATAAGATTGCACAAGGAACGTGTGAGGAGGAGAGATAGATATGATAGAAAACCAATTTTTACAACTCGAATGAGTATTGATCTCAGAAACCTTACTTTAAACCATCGAGGGGACCAAAGACAGTTCTATAAAAATGTCGTATATCGGAAATCCATTATTAATGGTAGCTGCTAAAAAGCACAGAGACTGAGCTACTTATACCTTTCCCTTTCGTCCCCCTCTTATTCATAATCATTTTCTTTTCCATTTAAACATCGACTCTTACCAGCATGCACTTTCCTGGATGCTGGACGGACTCTAATGGCCTGCTGCCTACACACCTAACGCTTGGTGTCAACCTAGGCCAACAGTCCCACGGCCTCTTTCTTGAAATTCAGTGGATGCTTCCAGTTTCCATCAAATGGAGTTGAACAGACGTTCTGTGCAAGAGCAGCCTAAATGACCCCAGGACAAAATGCCCGGGTCTCGCTCAACTTGGTAAAATGCTTGCTCTGTAGCCCAGGCTCTATAAATACCCAGGGAATGAATGATTGGAGGGATGCATGCTGAGGTGCTTAAAGCCCGAGCACACAGCCAGTTGCATCACGTGCAAGTCTGCAGGAGAAAGGGGTTGGGGGAGAAGGGGACAAGCTCTGCTTAATTCTCAAAGGAAAAGACAGCTAACCACGGAGTACAGGGTGTGGGACACTCCAGCTTGCATGTTTCTGCTGTTTCCTGCAAGGGAAGCTGGCATCCCCGGAACACATTCATTCAACAAGTATTTATTGAGGGATCTCTTTGTTCTGGTCTCCACGCGGGGTGCCTTGATGACCCAGCTCCCGCCTCTAGCCATCACAGTGCTGGCAGCAAACAATTCAAGTCTGGTGATTCCAGTGAAGGGATTTAGAATGACTTAGGTGGGTGGCCTTGAAGGCGCCGAGGTACCTGGAGAGTGGCAAGAACAAGAAGCAGTCCCCACCCCCAGGACTGAAGAAGGGAGAGAACCCAACCTAGTCAGCCAACAGCCTGCCAAGGGTCGTGCCATCCGTAGGGTTCCGTCCTGCCCGCCCGCAGAGCATGGCCAGAGAGCAGGGAGGGGACCATGGAGGGCAAACGCAGGGAGGAGCAGCACACTGCCCTGGTAGAACGTGGGGTCCGGACAACTGCGGTGTATATTTGAATGATTATCCATGGTCTCAAGTACTGATGGATACACTTTACATCTTCCCCTGGGCACAAGGCAATTAGTCCCCCTCTACAGGTGTTTTTTCCTGTCCCATGGCCAGATATCTTTCAGCTTCTGTGACATTTCCGTGGGCTGGTGAACTTCTTTTCAGAGACTAGCAATTTCAGCCGCTAAGTGCGTTCTGGGAGGGACACGCGTCCTATATGAGGTCATGAGAAGTCAACGTGGGTGGAAAATGGTGTTAGTGTAAGAGGCCGGTGGTCTGGTTTACTTTTGCTTGCTGATCACAAAGTGCTTGTGTCACCTAAAGCAGCCAAGGACAGGGACTTCTCTTTTCTCACTTTTTAAGTGAATGGATGTTGGTTCATTTTATCCCCTCTCTGAGGATTCTCCTGCTTGTTTAAACGCCTCTCTGTAGTATTAAGGATAGGTTTTTAAAGAGCATTCTATAACAGGTATTAGATGTAGTTGGTTTACAGTTATTTACATTTATCTGGGTTGCTGCAAATTCTCAAAAGGAAACAGATGTTGGTTTTTAAGAGAAAAGGCCGTAAGCTGACCTTTGCCTCCTTTGATGTGTTAATGATCTTCGTGAAAGCAGAACTATCACAAGAATCGTAGTTTTATCTGAATTTACTTTTGAGTTCCTTTGAAATGACTTGAAAAGGCTTTGAGATAGTAAGAAATTCATGTGATGAAAAAAACCCCATCGGGTTCTATGGTAGTTGCCAGTGCGTGTGTTTCCTTTTCAAAGAATAATGGAAAACCCCAAAGAGCTCCTGATTCTTTGACGCCAGGCTGCATAATATACAGGCCCATCAGCTAGTATCCAGCGCCAGTGATGGTGTGCAGGTTATCACAACCCAATTTCAATCTTCTGGCAGATACAGTCCCCTCCTCCTGCTGCTAGTCTGAGATGCCCTGCACCCCAACAAGCTTTCTTAATGTATTTTCCAGTGCCTGGCTATTTTTTTTTCTGGATGTTTGCATTTGGGGGAACAAGCTGTATTCTTAAAGCCTTTCTTATCTTGAGTTAGGAACAGTAGAGTTCCAGAAAAATTTGAATTTATGGCTGTTCACAAAAATAGTGACTTCTAGCCCCCAAAGAATGCAGAGATAGAAGGACCCTCACAGATGACTCAAGCCAGTGTTTCCCAGAGGATGGTTTGTGCACAGTAGTTTTGCATGGTTCATGGCAAGCATATTTCATTTCAACAATTGTGTTTACTGTTTGCTAGAAAACAATGTAGCCAGCAGCCAACCCCAGGTTTTCACTGTCATGTTTACATAGGGTGAGGCTAAGGAGAAAAGAAAAAAACATAGGCACTTTAAAGAAAAATACTAAATATGTGATTGTGTGTTGTGGGATTGTGGCAGAGAGGAGAATGCTATGCATGTAGTGAATGCCTGGGAAATAGTGATCTAGGCTTATTTGCTATGTTCTTTTAGTTGAGATAAAATTCACAACATAACCATAAAATTAACCATCTTAAAGTGAATAATTGAGGGGCATTTGCTACATTCACAATGCTGGACAGTCATCAGTTCTATCTTATTCAAAAACATCCTCATTGCCCCCCCCGCCCCCCCACCAAAAAAAGAGCCCATATCCATTAATCAGTCACTCCATAGCTTTTGGAACCACAGATCTGGTCTTGTCTCTATGGCTTCCCTTATTCTGGGCATGTCATACCATATGTGGCCTTTTGTGTGTGGCTTCCTATACTCAGCATACTGTTTTCAAGGTTCATCTGTGTTCTAAGTATTTCATTCCTTTTTATAGCTGAATAGAATTCCATTGGATGGATATACCATGGTTGGTTTCTGCATTCATCAATTGATAGAACTGAGTTGTTTTTGCTGTTGGCTGTTGTGAGTAGTTGCTGGCTACACTTTTTAACCTCTGGGAGGTAGGAGCTGGCCTTGCCACCATCACTCAGTTCCCAGCCACCATTCCAGCATGGGACTGGAAAAATTTATAGAATAAATGAAATTTCCATTTGCATGGCTTATCGAGAAGAGATTGGACAAAGGTCGTGGTGAAATGGGGAACCCGTATAATAGTTAAATTGTTCTCAGTACTGTAGCAACAGAGGTAGAAAGGAGGCTATGGTAACAGTACATACCAAATCTGAAATCAGATGGCTGGGTTTAAATCTTGGCTTTGCCTGTTACTAGCTCAGGAAAATTACGTGACCCTCCATATACCTTAGCTTCCCTCTCTGGAAATTGGAGACTATAAAATTACCCACTTCACGGGGTTATCATGAGGATAAACGAGTTAAAATGTGTAAGTGTCTTGCACCAAAGCATTACATGATTATGAGCATTATCTGATCGCTTGCTGTTACTGTTTTTATTTTTTTACTTTCTATTTATTTATCATTCATCAAACAATCATAGCAAGTCAGAAATTAGCTCACACATTTGAAAACAGACTATTTGCTAATTATAAATGTCAGTTTCCAGAATGTTTAGAAGTACCTGCTTTGGGTTATTATAAGCACTGGAAAGTCATTTACCCGTACTTCCTTTAAAATAATCATGTGGCAAAAAAATAATAATAATAATAATAAAATAATCATGTGGCTTCACTTGGAGCTTTTCCACACTTAGTGATTTTTCATTCTGGCTGCTTTTTCTAGATTTCCTTTTTACTGAGAATCTTCAAAGCTGAGAGGCCTGACTTACATTTCTTTATGATATCTGCTCTGAATTTCTGATAGAACTTATGGGGTGTTTAAGCATCTTTTCTCTTGCTTTTAAGAGAATGCCTTTATTCTAGTCACTTTGGCTTTGCTGTATGCTAGTCACGATGAATGCTGTATATTCATACTCCGATGTATACAGGAAATCTCCCATTTATAAAACAGACACATTTGTGCCTCGCATGAATCCATGGTCATGTGCACCCTAGAGGGAGGAGGGAAAAAGCAACTGCTTTTTTGACTTGCGTTTTTGCTTGAACAAACTGGATTCTAAAGGACCTATCAGCAATTTCTTTTCTTCTTTCATTTCTGCACTCATCTGAAGTTTCTTCAACAGAAAACATTAAAATGTGCATAATTATGGGGCAAAATGTCAAGCAGTCAGTTTAATTTGCTGATGAATACACGGAATTAATGTTTCGCGACAGTCCTGGGATTTCGCATTATGAATTAGCAGGGGGAAGGTAATGTTTTGTTGACATTTGTTAACGCTGTTGATTGCTTGTTTGGCTTGTGTTCTGCCTGCAGGTGGATTTTGCCTTCACAGTGTGGCAGAGTTTCCCCGAAAGGATTGTGGGGTACCCCGCGCGCAGCCACTTCTGGGATAACTCTAAGGAGCGGTGGGGGTACACGTCCAAGTGGACAAATGACTACTCCATGGTTTTGACAGGAGCTGCTATATACCACAAGTGAGTAATTTAGACATCTCTCATACAGATTTTTACGTAACTCCTTGTAGATTAGCTTCTGGCTGTTGCATAAATCGGCACTTGGGCCAGATCTTATTAACAATATTAACAAAAATTAGTTTGCATGGCTGTTTAAGTTCTGTCAGTGTGGCCAACATGTGTCTTTGAAACCAATAAAACTCCTTGGCTTACTGCACTTCCAGAAATAACAGTAGCATAACATCCTAAATTTGCCTGAAGTTGGAGGACATACTCATGTACATTGAGTAACTGAACATTTCGAATAACAACTGCAAAAGTAAATACTTAATTGTGCACCCCCAGACACCATTCTGAGTGCTTGGGATTTACCATTGAGTAAAATTTTTTAAAAGAAAAGAAAAGAAAGAAATTCCTGCCTAAGGTTTTCTCTTCTAACAAGGGGAGGACACGATATTCATAATAATTTTACAATAGATTAAGGGCATGAGTTACATAGCAAAAAGGCAGAGTCACACAGGTCAAGGATCATGAGTGCTGAAGGTAGAGGGGAGGTTGGAGGGTGGCCAGTGATCCTTATTGAACAGGTGAGATCGGAGCAGAGACTTGAGAAGAAATCATCCAAGAGGATATTTGTAGGGAGAGTGCTCTAGTGTAGGGAACAGCTGAAATAAGTGAGTGCCCTGAGCCAGAATGTTGGAAGAATATCAGGAACATGAATGTGCCAAGAGTAGAGTGAGTGGAAAGCAGGGGAGAGAGGTCATGGGAGCCAGTGCACGGATTTGAACAGAGTAGAGACATCTTTTTTATATTTTAGGCATCCACTCTGGGTGCTGTGATGAAAATAGACGATACAGGGACCAGGGTAGAAGCAGGGAGACCTAATAGGAGGTGATTGACATCTAGGCAAGAGATGATGGGGCCTGGGGCCTGTAACTGAGCACTGGAGGTGGTAAATAGTGATGAGATTATGGACATATTTTTGAAGATGCTCCAGTCTGATCACTAAGTTTTTTTGACCTAAGGAACTGGAGGGATAGGAGTCGGTAAGAGATGAGAAAAGTGCTTATAGATGAATTAGGTTATTAGGGGAAATACGGGAGTTCAGTCTCTTGCATGCTAAGACATCCAAAAGGGTATGTTGTGAAAGGGGCAGGGACAGGGATACACATGTGGAAGTTGTTTAAATATATTTGGTCTTTGAAGCCAAGGGACTTGGGTAAGACTACCAAATTAGTGAGTGTAGATGGTTAATGTTACTGACTCAGTCATTAATAAAAACCCCATTCTTCTGCCTTAGTAAGGTGAACACACTAATCTTAACCTAGTCTTCTTTAGTAGACAATAGAGAGGCTTGCCATCTCAGGGACAAGTTACAAGTGCACAGGGTATAAGAATTTAGGTTGACTGAATCTTGATCTTAAGACCTTACCTCTTTTTTTTTTTTAATGTTTACTTATTGTGAAAGAGAGCGAGCAAGGAAGGAGAGAAAAAGAGGGAGAAAGAGAATCCCAAGCAGGCTCCGTGCTGCCAGTGCAGAGCCTGACATGGGGCTTGAACTCACAAACTGTGAGATCATGACCTGAGCCAAAATCAAGAGTCAGACACTTACCCAATTGAGCCACCCAGGTGCCCCGTAAGATTCTACCTCTTGAAAGTTCATTGTTCCCTTTCTTCCTGTCACTACCCCTCAATGAATCTGATTTATTGCAATGATTTTCCCTTTAAATATATGCTATTATATTCCCCTTAAAAAATAGTAGAAAAAAATAGCAGAGCAAGAAATAATTCAACTTAATTGTGGGTTCTCCCTAATGATTGACCACCATATTAATTAGGGTTTTGATCTAACGGTGTTAAAATATATGGTTTATACGCCACAAAAATGGAATATTGTTGGACTCAGAGCCATAGGATACTTGAATACAGTTCTGATTAACCCAATAATTATAAAGCCATTTTTAAGGTTATATAGATCATGTGTAAGTAACTTCTCTTACCATCGGAATATCTGCTTTCTAACCATCCACCCTGGCTGGCCAGGCAATATCTGCACATTATTTCCCTATCTGTGAAGCACGGATAATGATAGTACCTATATCATAGGTTCCTTATGAGGATTACATGAGGCATTTCTTGTAAAGCACTTTAGAACATTATGTGGCATATAGTAAGTATATAAGTGATAGCTGTTGTCATCATCTATGATATGTTTAGGGATTCAAAGAGTAAGTATAGGTTTCCTGTCAAAGAAGATCACTTGTCATTATATAATGATGGCCACCTATGAAACCTGTCTGGTTTTTACAGATATTATCACTACCTGTACACCCATTACCTGCCAGCCAGCCTGAAGAACATGGTGGACCAACTGGCCAACTGTGAGGACATTCTCATGAATTTCCTGGTGTCTGCTGTGACAAAATTGCCTCCAATCAAAGTCACCCAGAAGAAGCAGTATAAGGAGACAATGATGGGGCAGGTAAGAACAGAACTCTCTTCCCCTGCTTCGCTCTCTGGTAGTTCAGCCTGAGGTAATAAGGACTCACTGTTCTTCTAGGAAGCATAATGAAGAAATATATGTGTGTGTTTATACATGAGCACACGTGCACACACACAAACACACACACACACACACACCCACATACACACCCACACACACATAAAAGCTCCAAGGGAATATATGGTTGGCACATGTATGAATAGGAAGACATAAATCAAGGGTATCTTCTCCAGAGTTGAAGACCTACAAGAATATATGCAAGTTTATTATAGGTGCTTTATGTAATGAATAGCTAATAACACTGTCTTCAACAGAGCCTTCTTTCTGCTAAGTGCTCTTGAGTTGGGTGAGCATCATAGTGACAGACCAGGAGTCACAAGCCTTGATTTTCACCTAGAACTAAATCTGTAAGCTATACACAAGCTATACACAAGCTACCTTCTGAAACTTATTTGGTTCACTCTTAAAATGGAAATGGTAAAAATCCACCTCACAGGTGGTTTGTGTGAAAACTTGTATGAAAGTAAAATATTGTTGAATTATGTAAGTTCAGTACTAAAGACACTTGCAAGGAAATATAATTCAACTTTCTCTTTTGACAAGTAAGGAAATTAGGATCCAGAGACTTTAAACATAGTGCCACAAGTCACCTAGTATTAGAGACAGAACTGGGAGTTGCATCCCAGGCTCTGTTCTTTCCACTACTCATTATTTTACACCTGGGTCTTGTATCAAAATGATCTGGATATTCGGTAGTTCATCCACTTTTATTCATCCTGGACAGAGCCCAGTACCAATAAGAAGCCAAAACCCTTTAGACCATTTAGATCCACCCAAGGTAAATCATGGAGAATCCAAGAGGATTTAAGTCAACCTGGAAAGATGTACTTTTGAGGGTTCTATCCGTTCAATTGTTTGGAGTTTCCCATGTACCTGTTCCAGTCGTTTCTGAAAATCATATACAGATCTTGTTTTTGCAAAGGAAAACTTAGCCAGGCCTCATGTTAACACAATTGATGATTTTTCATTCACTAAATTTAGTAAGAGCAAAAAATGTGCAGGATTTGAAGTAAAAAAAATTTCATAATTCAGTGTTTATGAGCGTGTACGGTATATCAGGCACTGTTTTAGATACTGGTTGTGACAGAGCTACTGTCCTTAATGAGCAAAGAGTCTAGTGGAAAATTTTATTTTCATCTAACTACTAAAAGAACAAGCAAAAGAATTGACAAGAATTTTTTTATCTTGAAGGATGACAGACTATTCAAATTCAAACAAGATGTATGGAGTGGCTACTGTGTGCCCAGCCATTTTCATCCGTGTCACTTACAGACACAACATTCCTTTAATATCGTTTGCTCAGAGAGTTCAATGAACTTCCCTGAGGTTATACACTAATTAGGGGTAGAACTCTAATAACACACGTTTTCTTAGGCGTTGGTTTTATATTCTTTTCATAGACTTGCCTGATTCTACCAAACCAGTATTTCAAGTGAATTTGCACATATTTTGGGACACATATAAATTTAGCCTTAGCTATAACTCGATATATCTGTATGTGCCCCCTGCTTCATATCATGCACATTAGTTTATTGAATGTATGACTGGTGAAGTAAATGGATATCATGTGCTATGATTGTTTTTATTACACAGGAAATATATCTTCTCTAAGGTGTTGGTTGACCAAAAAATAAATGTGGAAATCTAGAGGCAAAAATGATACTTGAATGATTCAACTGGGTTGTTGTTGTTTGTTTTTTTTTTTTTTTTGTATTTGTAAGAGAGAATAAGCTTAAGCTCTTGACAGTCATTTCATTTGCATACATTTGCATATGTGAGCAAATTTCTGGGGGTAGGGAGTCTGGCCTTTTGGGTTTGAGTGAACCACTCAGAGATGGCCTATCCCAATATAGGAACAAAATGAAGTCCCTTTGGGACAGTCTGCTCTGCTATGAACTCAACTGGTCAGCTTAATTAGACACCATCTGACTTACCAAGGAGAACTATAGTATATTTCTCATTCTATAAATGGTAGAGGATGGAACTTGAGATCTGCCCCTTCCTTCTTAAACAAGTAAGTGTAACTTCCCTAAACCTGCCTCCGCACCTATGCAGGGGGGATGTTATTATCTGAGTAGATAACTTGACCAAGTTGTTACGAAGCTCAAATGAGCTTCATGGAAACACTTAAGAAGTATTGTTTTGTTTGTTATTCTGCTGCTCAGAGGTAACTTGACATTCATATTTACCCTCAATAGCTCCTTTCAAGCACATTGACACTTAGGTTTTTAAGTACTCTGAGTGATTCTCACAGTAAAATGTACCTTCCCAGGAAAGTATTTTCTAACAGTACATGGAACACACACACACACGTGCATATACATCATTGAACAGTTGCCTATTGATAAATGTGTTTGTGTTTTTTTCCCCCATAATCTGGTAGTTCTCTTTTTCTTTGTTTCATAAAAACATGGTTTGAGAGACATTCTGCTTATTTAAATTTCAGCGCTTAAGCCATTTAAGGCTTTCTTTTAAATCAGTGTCATCCCCATGATCTAAAAATATTTAACCAAACTTAGAGGAAACACAGAGAGCTAAAGAGATAGTAGCCATCCTGCCTACTTATCCAGAATCAACCAGGTAAACCAGGTTTTAGAAAACTGTCTTTGAAACCATAAACACATTGTTAGTCATAGTATTTGATCGCAAGTACAGAGTTTTGTTTACTGACAATAGTAGTTGAAGTTCAACCGGTAGATCATTCCCAGTCCAGGGGATTAGTCAGTATGGAGTTTTGTCTGTTCGTATGTTTTTAACATCAAGGAAAGTTGTATATCTTGGGGAAATCTTCCGACGAGGCTGAAACCCAGGACTAGTGCTGTCATCTTCACCAGGTGCATAGGAGGTTTGGTGGCCCATCCAGACCCCAAGCTCTGCCGCTTGCCCTGGAACCTGATTTCTGTGGTGTTTCCAGCTCACCTTGCACTGTCTCATTGTCTTCCTCATCTCTCTCCCTTTCCCCAGACTTCTCGGGCTTCCCGCTGGGCTGACCCTGACCACTTTGCCCAGCGACAGAGCTGCATGAATACGTTTGCCAGCTGGTTTGGCTACATGCCGCTGATCCACTCTCAGATGAGGCTCGACCCTGTCCTCTTTAAAGACCAGGTCTCCATTCTGAGGAAGAAATATCGAGACATTGAGCGACTTTGAGGAATCCGGCCAAGTGGGGGAGGGGAAGCGAGAAGGGACGGGGTCAAGCTGCTCTCTCTTCCCAGTGCAGATCCGCTCAGCAGCGGAGCCAGATTGTGCCAAGTATCCAAATAATCTTAGATGAACAGAATGACAAAAAGAAAAAAAAAAAAAAAAGGCCAATGAAAACTCGACTCCTGGCTCCTGGGACTGCACAGGACTGCTCCAGACTCACCTCACTGGCTTCTATGTCCCAAGACTAGGTTGTGTACAGTTTAATTATGGAACATTAAATAATTATTTTTGAAATGATTGCTATGCAGGTTTAAACTTTTTTAATGATCAAAACTATTAAAAACCAGAGTTCTTTCTTTAATCAAAATTGTGTTGGTTGTGAATATTTCGAAGCTGCTACTCTTCTTCCCACAAACATCTTTGCCCTTGGTCATGCAGGGTTCGCAGCAGTTACAAACGTTCAGACTTCATGAAGACACAAGAAGTCACTCCACCCAGTGCCAAGAAATAACCAAGCCTAAGTTTAAGACAAGTTCATTATTCCACTTTGCCAGTGCAAATGCTTTCCACTTCGAATTTGCAGATCCACTTGAACTTCTATCTCTAATATGTTGCTGCAATATGACCTCCAGGTAGATAGCTGTAGCAGAAAACTTTGAGATATAGTGGTATGATCATCTTCTGCACTAGGGGAGTGGGGAGAGTTAGTACCAGGAAAACACTAGTATAATTAAGAATGTTAAGTTCACACAAGGAACCATCCAGTCAATCCACCAGCATATTAGTGAGATGGAAATATTGACCCATAACAGTGACTTGAGGCTCTTCAGGGATGTGAGCTAGATTATACCTTTAACCATTGACACAGCCTCTGAGAGCTGGGGGAAGTCTTTGGTTTAGAGGCAAAGGAACAATGAATGTGCCCATGGCAAACCAGCAATCACAAGACAAACTCTTTATATTTGTGAAAAACTCGAGTTTCAGAAGCTTCCCTTGAGAAAGAAGTAATCATATAGAAACTCTCCCCAATGAACATGAGCATTGCTGACACGGAACTGAGGGCATACCTCACCTCACCACTGGGACCTTCATATCACTTTTTGGTCTAACCTTGTTTTGAGCAAGAACTCAACAAACAAAATAATCAGAAACAAATGTGAATACTGTTTCCTGTCACTTTAATGTTTCAATGTGTGGAGAAGCTGTGTAGGGCTTCTTGTTAAAAAGAACACTTCTGTCCCTGCAAATGCTGCTTTCAGTGTCTGATTATTGTAAAACTGCAAATAGAAACAGAAAATATAGATGTGCCTTTACTCCCTTGTAAAAGACGGAGGTTTCTGGTATTAATGCCTCCTTCTACCTGGAAGAGGCAAGAGAGAATAGAGGAGAACATTATTGGGTCCACCTCTTATTCTGAATAAACAAGAAGCACTTTCGTTCTTTCCCCCTGAACTCTCCTATAGCTCATAAACTTATTTCTAGTGTTGACTTAGAAGAAAATTCCATTACAGAATTATGTTCCAATCATTCCAACTGCCTGGCTTAGGTCAGTGGGAACCATAAATCTGGGAGACTTGAACTCCTCTTGCTTTGTAGACATCCGGAAGGGAAAGAGGGGCTGTCTGGAAAGCAAGGATGGAGGGTCCCCTCAAACAAGAGAGACACTGGCTGCTTGCAGAGTCCCAGAGAGGTGACTCCATGCTACCTCGCAACAGCACGAGGGCCGGCCCATGCATCCAGACGCTGTGTTTTGAGTGGCATGCAGGCAAGGAGGTTCAGTGAAAGGGGGGCCTTCCTCTGCAGCCTCATGACTCAGAACAGTTCTTGAAGTCTCTCTCTCTCATCCAGTTTGACCCAGCTTTAGCCCACTCTCAAGCATGTGACATTTTCTCCTAAGTGGACGTGATTCTCTCCTCTGTATTTGTTGAAAACTAATTCTTAGGTCCGCGGTATCTGCCCTTGTTTCTCTGAAATGCCCGGTCTAATAGGTTCTTTGCCATTTAAGATGCAGCTCTTAGCGACTTAAACGGTTAGCAATTAATCCTTATTCATCTGGCCTTTGCAAATTTATATTTAAATTAATTTTTGAGGACTGCCAAATTATTCTTGTATCTTCCTCCTTTGCAAAAACACATGCAATGTTTTGTTCAATGACCCCAAGCCAACTTGAAGCTCATGTTGTCATTTGGCTTGCAGAGAAGTGTCCCTAATTGTATGAGTCTCATGAATGGATTCGGGGACTGGCCTGCCAGATTTACCTGTCCCAAAGCTCACAAGGCATATCCTCCACAAACAGTATGCATTCCATGAAAAAAAAAAAAAAAGTAATTATAAATGAGAACATGAGAACAGCACCTGACACACTCAGCCGCGTCAAATCTCCATGGTTTCATTTCATGTCATTGTCTGAACAAATCTCTTTGGGATGCTAGCTAGTATATTCTTTTCCCATTTGGAACATACAGCTGGGAATTGAACAATCGTTAGCAAATCAGTGAGGCTCAACAGTAAGATGTAATTTTAATTCACTTAGGCAAGAGTTGTATTTCACTGCAGCAAGTTGACAAATCATAAGCATCTCTTTAGGGTGTCCAGAGTTATCTCTCTCAGTCAAGTTTAATGATAACCAGGTGTCCCTAAGTGGGCCAACATGAACTGAGAAGCAGCCAAGGCCAGAGAGTACAATGCCAATCCTATAATGAATTACATGCAGAAACTCTATAGAGGACTCGGTCACTTAGGATTTCCGCACATTTTCCTGTTCCACATTAGATTAATTTTCCCAAAGCTGGTTTCTGTATTTACATAAAATGGTTTACAAATACCAAATCAAATTTGCATATATATATATGAAATAGATCACTGTTGTTGAAAATGAGATGACCAGAAACAGAGACTATAGAGAAGAACCCATGAAATAATCCTTGTAGCCATTCCCCAAAGATCACATAGCCAGGTGGGCCCACTGGGATATAACAGCGCACTTTCCAAAGGATGCTTCAGAAGACAGTGAAATCTCTCCTACCTGGAATCTCATGTGCATTACAGTTTAATTTCTTCTTATTACCACTGGTTCTCAAAGGACTTAGCTCAATTATACTTTTGGAGTGATTTTTGTTTTTCATTTCCAGCAGACAATGTTAGCTTTCATTTTAGCCGTTCTGGATACCTGGTCACTTGAAGGTCTGTCATGCCGGTGGCCTTTCATAAAGGTTACTGAACTTAATTTGAATGGGGGTGACAGAATGAATATGAATAGACCCATATACTGCCTTTTTTAGGTGGGCTCTTGATTTAGGAACTAGTGAAATTTTAATCAAACCTGTTTGGAGGGCAGGAGTAGGGAAAAGGCAGAGAGCGCTCCCAGGTTAGAATCTGAATAAGACTTTAGCTGGACAAGCTGAATTAAGGGCGCAAAAGCCGAGGCAAACTTCCAGACCTGCATGTGTCTTATGCTCCCTCTGGTCTCTGAGAGCTCCGTTTAAAAAAAAAAAAAAAAAATAGTACCACCTATTGCCATGAACTCTGAAATAGAAATGTCCCTGCCTTCTAATAGTTAATACAATCGATATGTGGCCAGTACAGCGGGACTTCAGTTGCTGAATTCATTTACCTAGTTTCCATTTTCAGCAGGCTTTGTCATTCTTGGCCAGACTTAACCCAGAAAGTTCTTTTACTGCCGGCCTCATTTTCTCAGGTATGCTTGAGGGGGACAAAGTTGTTTTGACTTGCGTTTTCAGTGAATAAGCATTAATATCAAACTGTGCTGAATGTGTCTTTCTCAGTCTTAGAACTTCAGCATGCAGACCTTAGATGATTCTTTGACTCTGGGTCTACTTATAAAAATGAGATCCAGCACCTTAAGAACATGACCTCCCCCATCAATTCTTTGAGCCTATCTGGATGCTGTGGATGGATAGAAAAGCTGCTATTTGCAAAATAATCTCAACAATAAAGATGACTCCTGAAAACCACCTCTTTTTACCTGCTCCAGAAGTCAAAGGATTTTATTGTCATTGTTTTTACAGGTTCTTGTCTATAGTTGTCATTAAAGTTCCACCATGTTCCATATTGGGAGCCTAGATGAACACTCCAAATTCCTGAGCTCCAAAGCCCAGTTTTAAGCAGGTGAGAAAGTCTGTATTATCCTCTGGAATAAGAGGCAAGTAGCAGCCCTCAAGAAAGCCCTCAGATTGGCATGGTCCTGGGCTTGCTTAAAATCAAGTCAAGCTAGCTCTACAGTCACTGTGCTTTTATAATAATTTGCCCTTTAGGCTTCAAAGGCCATCTGACTTCTGCAATAGTTCTCTGTTCTTCTCCTACAGGAATACATCCCTTTCCTTTTGGTTGTGATTATTACTAAACCTGGGGCCATGCAAATAACTTGGTTACCATGTAATGAACCTTGTATGTTTACTTTGAGAGAAAAATATGTGTAGGATATGTTGAGGGATAGAATAAAGGCACTGAAAATGAACTCTTCTGGTGGCAAATTATAAAGCAGAAAAAAAGAAAAGTGAAGAAGTATACCTTATTTTGTATCTGATGTACATTTGGGATGGTTTTCTAACAATGTTGCCAATGTCTCTGTCATATCATCACAGGACTTCTCAGAAGTGTTTACCGCATTTGTGATAGACTATTAATTAGCGCAGTGAAGCCAGAAGTGCGTTGGAGAGAGTGTGTGCGAGAAAATACAAAGCCATAGATCTTGATTTACCCCATTGACCTGTGTAACTTTATGTCTGAGTTTCACCATCCAAGATAGATTGTTTTATAGCAAGTGTCACCAAAGACTTTTTCCTTCCAATTTATAGAAGAAGAAAAAAGAGAGATTATTAATAAATGACATGACTTTTCATCTGCGTGGTTTCATTCCATCTTTTCTGTTGATGACAGAAAGGTGTCCATTCTCAGGAGGATTCTGCATGCTGCGGAAGGCAAAGCTTGTGGGGAGATGCTGCGGGAGACAGGCAGAGGAGGTTGGACCACGTGTGCTGGGTGCAGGTCCAACCCTCCCCTCCTGGATGAAGCCCAGAGCCCAGCTTTGCGGGCACCACAGTGCTGCCAGCAACAGCCATCTTCCAGGCCAGATGCAGCTGAGGCTGCTGGCAGCTGGCCAGGGTGAACAGTGGTGATATGCCCAGTTCCCAGTGTTCCTC